AAACCATTTACATTTCATTTGTCATGTCTATTTTAAACAAAATTCCAAAAAGGAAGATAAATGCACAATATGACAAGCTGTTTGTCATGAGGTGATTGTCATAGGTTAACAGGAGCTATTTTTCCTCGTTCCCAAAAAAAATAAAAAAATTAATCTGCACCGAAATTACAAGAAAACAAAAATATTGAATGCAAAAGATTCCTGGCCCTTGTCACATTCAATTAAGTTGGCTAGGTAATGAGGCCATTTGCATTGTAAAGCATCCCTCATGTGTGAGGGTTTTAATGGGGACAGGACCTGAGGAGATTAATTGAGAGTGACATTTCTTGAACTCTATTTTTCCCCCTTCCATGCCCTCCACGTCTTGCCTTTGCTTACCTGACTGACAGATCTACCTTTCAAACACTAATATCTGAAAGACTGTCCACTCAAACCCCTCATTGACTCTGATGTCAGGGCAGGATGGTACATAATGCATATGGTGATGAACAGAAGTGCTTGACTTCAAGAAAAGGGATGGGTTCGGTTCACAAGGCAACATTTCTTTAATTAAATGACCAGTTATTCAACACTAATTTTACTAAAATCGATTAAATAAAACTTATTAGACATTATCTAAGAAATATTTCAAAACAAAAAAATGTGCATTATGCATTGCAAATGACGATGATATATTCCTGATGTTGTGTTCTGGTCATTTTGACCAGGAAAGGAATTTTGTTTTCCCAAATATGCTAGTTATTGGTAATGTTATTACACTGGTATAACAACTTTATTTATTGTCAAAATTATCCACAAATAATGCTTTTTTCCCCACTCAAAAACTGAGGTGCATAGTCTCAGATCAATGAGGCCTATGACCAATCAGTTCCAAAAAGAAATACAAAACATCTGCTAATCAAAAGACAACAAGCTGACAAAAAGATTGAGATTTGGTGATAATATAGCATGAGAAATTTACAAGCAATTTTCAAAAAGCTGGTCGTTTTAGATTGGGAACACCAAATTAGGTGACTTTGAGCACAGCACAAGAGATATTATATAACTGACAAATAGGGAAATACTTCTGTTAATTGACAAAGGGGTCTAATTTACAATCCACAAAGTGCCTACGAATGTTAAGAATTTTAACTGTACAGAAAATATAACCTTTGAAGGCCACATATCCATCCCTCTACATATACATATTTCAGAATAATGAAGCACTGCTTTGGATCTACAGTCCTTCTGTCATTATTATCACTAAAGCAGCCATAATGTAGCTGATGGCCAGACGGCGGTAGTTATCATCTTTAAGTTCTTTATCATTCAATATCATACTACACGCTTGCACAAATCAAACCGCATATTTGTGTGTCCTCTTATGATGCAAGAACGGTGCAACTACAACTCTGAATAAGCGATTTTAGAGTACTACAAAAGGTGGCGGGCAACGGCAGATAGTCATTTCAGCCATACGGGGTGGGGGTGGTGGTCACGGGTCTCTAATGACTTATTTAATATTGTAAGAGAAATGACCCAGGTACCAAGGAGCGCAACGTCTCTTCAGCCTGAAAACAGAAACAATGGAGCCACCTTAATTGTGGCATTACAAGCGGTGGCACAGAGAGGAACAGAGGGGGTTTGATTAAAAGTAGAAGAGGTGGATGACTTTGTGAAAAGGTCACTGCACACTTACCTGGACTTCTCAACTCCCCCTCTTTCTGAACAAGAAAAAAAGTGGAAGAATATGGAGGAAAAAGAACCAAAAAAAACTCTCCCATGTGATTAGAGACGACTTCCAATATTTTCAGCAATGCTATTAGTGAAATAAGATGGTAATTTTCTGGCAGGCGGTATCTGTGCAGAAAATGAGAGAAGGAAGTGAGGGGGGCGGCAGCAGGTTGTCGGTGGGAACAGAAGGCAGCACAGGTGGGGTGGTGTCGAGGTTAATTGAGAGGTTAACAAGGACAAAGGTATGTCATAGGTCAGAGAAGACCACCAGCCAGAGGGAAAGACTCCTGTTTCTCCTGACTTATGTAATACGGGTGTCCATGCTTCTGATGTAGCGGCACAATCTCTATTTGTTTAGTGAATGAGTTTTATTAAAAGACAGATTTTAGTCATTAAAAACCAAGGTGGCTAATGGCCAATAATAATAAACTTCAGTATTCATTAAGGATGCATTAAATTAACCAAAAGTTACAATAAAGATTTTTTATATGGTTACAAAAAATGATCTCAAATAAATGTTGTTTTTTTTTTAACTTTCATCAAATAATCCTGAAAAAGCATATTTTCCACAAACAAATTAAGTAGAGTAACTGTTTTCAACATTGATAATAATCAGACATGTTGGATCATGTGCTAAATATTCAGCTTTGCCATCATAGGAATAAATAAAATGTTAAAATACATTCCATCACAAAACAGTTTAAAGTTTATAATGATATTTCACAATATTAATGTTTTATAATATTTTTGCTCAAATAAATGCAGCCTTGGTGAGCATAAGAGAAAAAAAAAAAATTCTCACCAACCCAACCTTTGGAACAGTCGTGTTAAAAAATTAAAAAAAAAAATATATATATATAATATGCTGATTACATATTATTGTAGCCCAGTGTAATCAGACTTTAGCCATTAATATGTTTATAAGAAACTGAAAAATTTAGAGGGTTAATTAAACAGGTATTCTTCACCTTTTTACAAAACTTTACTCGTTAAAACTTCAAAATTAACCAAACAATATTTCAAAACAAAATATGAGCATTATGCATTGCAAAGGATGTTATGTATATTATCGTATGTAACGAACAAAAGGGGAAACACTTCTGTTAAAGGGGTCATATGATGCGATTTCAATTTTTCCTTTCTCTTTGGAGTGTTACAAGCTCTTGGTGCATAAAGAAGATCTGTAAAGTTGCAAAGACTAAAGTCTCAAATCCAAAGAGATATTCTTTATAAAAGTTAAGAGTCAGCCACACCTACCTAAAACGGCTCGTTCTAACACACCCCACATGTCTACGTCACGATGTGGAAAGATTTGCATAACGCCGCCCAAATATTCACGCAAAGAAAGAAGGCGTAACTTATTCTCGCTGTATTAGCAACATCATATGACCCCTTTAATTGACAAAGGGGCAAAGTCGTGTCATTTGGAAGCGTCATCAACCACCTTCTAAAACGCCTCAGCCAATTTAATATTCAGCGTGACATACCATCCTGAATCTATCACAAACCTTTAAAATCTCTCTGGAGACATTACAATTTGATACGCCGACTATGATGCTAACGATATACATTATATCCATCTCTGAACCTTGTACAGGTGAGTCAATTACCACATGCCTGAATGCGATGGGAAACAGCCCAGATGCACTGATGCATGACATGCACCTGATAAACATTCAGACCACGGGCGGCTTTCTGAGAAAAAGCGTGTAGTCAATTTTTCAGTGAATAATCACACAATTCCGCATCACAAGCAGGTACAGACATCTTGGTCTCCTGTTTAACATTTTATTTTTAGAAAATTGTAATGTTGATGGTCCATTAACAAAACAACGCTTGGTACATACTGAAAACATCTAAAAAGTGAATTGAGGACAAAGAGGAAAAACATAGAAACATCAAAACGGGCTGAATACAGTATGAATACAGATATATATTCACATTCTATTAAAAAAAAGTTTCATAATTATGGCACCTGAATTTTTATATGTGGAAAGCATGGTTGTTGTTTTTTTAATAAGACTATTACATTTTCGTCTGGTCGTCTGAAATTTGACACATTTGTGTTGCGATTAAATTTAAATAACTGCCTATTTTCATTTTTATCTTAATCATTTTTTAATTTAATAGTTTTGCTCTGAGAAGGGAGATTTTACATCAATGTATTTATGTCAATGTATATATTTTTGTATTAATATATTTATGTGCATTTTTCAAGCTCTTGTCAATATATATATAATCTGGAAAATTTTTTGTAAATTAAAATCTCAAGAAAATGATGTGAGTATTAGTTTGCTTACTATTAAAATACATTTCATTCATTTGAACAAACTTTTATAGTATCTTAAGGCAACTATACTTTTGCATATTCTCAGTGTAAACGAGCCAGTCTATGTCAGTTAGGTTTAAAAGTGGGTCTCGTCAAAAGACTCAAGAACTAGTCTGATTCTGGAGAGGTAAAGTCTGTAGAGGTAAAGTTGTTTGTTTTGAACCGGGTTCAGTTGAATGTTTCAGGTCAGTTCAGTCACACTGTGTTCTGAAGTGCAGTTTGGCAAGTATGTCGTAAGCAGTTTTGACGAGATGAGTCAGACAAATCACAAACGCACAGCGTACCGAAGGCATTACGCACTATGAACAAAAAATCAACTGTGTTCACGTTGTGATGCTAACATTAGCTTACATAATGCCGACAAATGCCAGCTTTGTACAATTCACAAGAAAGCCTCAGGCAATGCAATCTGAACTACATGTATGATTTAACAGTCAAAGAAAAATAACACTTTGCAATAGTGTATTCAGTATTCACCTAAGTACTAAAGCAAAACGGTGCTTTTATAGTGTATCTTTAGCAGAGGCTTAATAAAGAAAAACAAAAAGTCAAGTACAGACCAAAAAATCTTGCATAAAGTGGATTTCGGCATCTGCATTCTATGCTATTCTTTGTATCCGGTTCATGTGTCTTTAAAGCGCCAGAAAGCTAACCGCTAATGTCGTTCCACGAACTTAGGGACATTTAATTAAATGAGCTACAGTAGATGCAGTTTAAATAAAGACTTACAAAATTGGCTATCACTTAAACAACCCTCTCTGTTTTTCAGAAACAGTTCAAAATAAGAATCTCACTTAACACCCACAAAGGCTTGACCTCTGACAGTGTGAAAGCGCTATGGTTTCCACTCAAATTACAGTGATGTGCAGAGCGACCTCAAGTTGTGTGACGTCTACTGTTTTAATTTCAACATCTGCAAGTTTTTAAAATTATAAAGTGTGAAGTGTCTTTAAAAACAAAAGAAATATGTTAAAAACCTCTGCAAAGAGATGTAAAAACAGTAAATAGAACAAGCTCTGATACGTTAAAGCATTGAATATAAAGCGCTGAATATCTATGCCTTTATGCACTTTTAGTTTACGAGGATATGTGAAGTAATGTATTTTAGTCCTTCTTTCTTATGAACTTTATGGTCATCTTGAGCTTAGGAACAGATTTTTCACAAGTGTGAAAAAAACACTCCCTAGCTCTCATTCACACATACACAGACACACACGCTCTCGTTCAACATCTGTCCTGGCTGTGGCCTGCATGCATCAGGGCTTTTATGTTGGGAAACAGATTCCGCAGCACTCCATGCAGATCTCCAGGCAGTCCGAGGACTCACAGCACGCATCCATAATGCCACAGTCCATGTCACAGGGGCAGTTGCAGTCGTCTCCCAGGTCATCTGCGCAGCAGCAGCAGCAACAGGCTTCTGATGTGCAGGTGCCGCACGATGCCTGAGCCACCACCATATTGCACAGAGTGAGAAATTCACAAAACAGGCAGGCCAGGATGCAGTGGACACAGCAGTCTGCTCTCAGAGTATTGCAGTGGGCAGAATAAAACAAAAACATAGAATAAACATACAAAATTATTTTGTTAAGTATTTAAAGTAGTGTCATTTTCTACATTTCGTGGGATCATTTTAGCTATTTGGTTTGGTTTCGCCAGTGGCGCAAAAACTACACACTTCACTTTTATAATCAAATAACAAAAATTGGACTTAGTATTAATCAATTAAACAGTATATTTTATAAAGGAAAATATTTATTATTTTATTTAAAAGTGAAATTTTATTTCTGTTTGTTTTGATCATATTGACTAACAATAAAAGCTTTCTACAGTGTATGTGTCGTGTGTGTGTGTGTGTGTATGTGTGTGTGTAGGAGGTGAAGACGGCGGTTCAGCAGCGGTGAGAGCAAAAGAGGAATCAGAGTATGAATTCCACTTTTGGGTTGATTAGTAGCTTTGTGAATAATGGGGTTATTATCATGCAAAAGCACAGGGTTGGTCACGTAAAGCTGATTAACAGCGTCCAACATTTTCGCCAGCAAATTGGCGTGTTAATGCTGCCGTTTCTCTCATCTCTGATTAACATTTAACCTTCCTCTCGCAGGGCCGCCACATACTATGCCAAATTACTTTTGTTTAAGATGACATGGATACACAGTTTTGCAGGAGCACTGGCTGACCATCTTTTGGGAAATTTTATAAAAAATAATAAAATAAATAATAAAATAAACACTCTGTATTTACTTAGAGTAACCAAACAGCTAAGTAGCCTGTTCATGAATATATATTAACTTAAAATGACCATCTGAGGATCTGATAATCAACACCGTATGATCTGTCCATCTGTTGGGAAAATAAATAAAATCAATTAATTAATGTTTGCATTACAAAAATCTAAAGTAACTAAAAAAAAAGTTTTGTTTGAGTGCTTATTAGCAATCTTTTAGGATACTTAATAAAAAATCATTATTTATTCATTAATTTTAACATAACCAAAGTATCCTGTTTGTGTGTAAAAATAATAAATCAAAAAAAGTTGTGGTACACTGTAAAAAAAAAAAAAAAAAGATTTTAAAAAGTTGTAGGCCTAATTAGACTATTGCAGAACGTTTTACAAAAAAAATGCTTGTTTAGTCTTTCTACTATTTTCACATTTAAATCAATGTGTTTAATGTGTCTTTGTAATTAATTGTGAAATTTACTAGCATTTTCTGTGTCAATAGTGTTTCTACACCAATTTTTTTTCTTCTTCAGTATAGATAACTGACTTATTAAGAGCTGAATCCTTAAATCACTCAGTAGAGTGTTGACAAAATGATAAATACTCATTTACTTTACAATCAGATTGCAGTGTGGTAATATGTACAGGACATACAAAGTTAACGTGCATTACAGAAAAAACGCAACTAAAACAAAACAGCAAAGTGAAAAGAGAACATCTTTTACTCAAACTAAGATTAAAGCTTCAATAAGCAGTGAGACGCACACATTGCGCTTCAGCATAAACCGTGCCGTAGAGAATAACAGTGAACCCCTACCAGTCCGGACGTGCCGCTCGGACCTCTAATCAACTGTAGAACCCAAACCGCGGTGCATTGGAGAAATCACAGCGATGTGGTGTGTATCGTTATCAGTCTAAAACGTGAATTTGCATGGCTTTCATCAGTCCGTGGTGGGCTGTCAGAGAGATCGCTGGGTTTGATTGAGCTCTGGTGAGGAGGGGGGAGAGAGACCAAGGACGGGGCCTGAAGACCACTGGATGCTCATGTTTGTTTGATCAAAGTGATTTTTTATTTTTTTAGGCAGTGGAGCTGACCAGCGGTGGTGCTGTGCAGCCTGGACAGTGTTTGAACATGAAACAAGTTTGCATACAGGCCCACCAAATGCTTAAAACACTAGCTTTCTGAAAGGTCAAACAGACATACTTTTAGATTTCTCCATTGCCAAATTATGTGACAGCTACATCAACTGTTTACAAGTAAACTACTCGTATACAAAACATATGAATCAAAAATGGCATGCTTGCTATTTGATTAGCGATTCATTTAATAGTGATTAAATTTGCACCATGTGCTATTTTACTATCGAGATACTATTCTAGTTTTTTTAATATATAGATTTTTTTAAAATATTTTTTGTTTTCATTTTAAGTTAAAGTATTAGAAATTTTGTTGTGTTTTTGTTATTCTTATTAGTTTTTAAATGTCTATAGTTTTTATTAATTTTATTTCAGTTTTAGTTATTTTAGTACATCAAGTTAAACTAAACAAAAGTGAGAAATGTGCCTTGGCAACTAGCTGAAATAAAATAAGTTCAAGTTTATTTTATTTTATTTTATTTACAGTTTAATCTCAAGTAATAATTTTTTTTATGGTTTTAGTTTTAGTTAACTATACTAACCCTGCACCATCCTATTAAACAAGTATGAAAAATTACATGTGTCCACATCGATTCTTTCACTATTTTTCTTGTCCCTTTTTTAACTAACAATTTATTTCGAGAAACAAATTTAAAAGTTACAGTACATAATGAATTCCCTTGGATGTATAATTTATCAGCAGCGATTAGTGTGAATCTTAAGGAATGAGAGTCTGTGTAATGTACACAGGAGACGGGCTGCCTTATCTCAGCTGCAAAACTGACATCGGCCCAATGAGAGGGTTCATGTTTAATGTCAGACCGAGCGGAAGATGCCCAGATTCCGCCAGGCCAAAAACAGCCCCAGCACCTCGGAGGAAATAGTTTGAGACATCTGGAAAACTCCAAAGGCTAACATCAAAAAGAAAGGCAGCATGACATAAAACAAGCTGGAAGAGTCGCAGACCGGCAAGCGATGCGGGAACGTTCAAATGAAGACAGACTGACTGGTGCATGGGTTGTACATAGCGGCTTTAGAGACCAAATGAGAGGGGGATAAAATAAAATAAAAAAGCAGTTAATTTGCAGTCAATACGGAAGTGTGCACAGTAAACTTTTCGAAAGAGAGATCCAGATACGCTGGGGAATCTGCAAAGATGGGAAAAACATGGCATTACGATGCACCACTAATGACCGCGCTAGCTTTCTGCTTACATCCCGCAGCCTTAATTGAATTTGTCAGAGGGATTTTAGACGACTGCGTGCTTACAACAGAACACAATCACAAACATGCCATCACTCAAGGTCCTAACCCACCCGCAACAGAACAAAAGATCTCTCAATTAGTTGATTTTCTGCTGGGGTTGCCGTTATCGCAGCCAGCGACGGCAGCCAAGAACACGAGGAATCGCAATCCCCTGAGCAGAGATCTTGTAAAGCTTTATTCTTCAGCTTCCCAGGCTGTTTAGAGGCTAATTTCACAGGCAAACAGATTATGGTAATCCGTGTAAACATTAAAACACAACAGCTTGCTGTTTTCCAGGGGGAAATTACTACTTAAGAGAGAACATATTGATTCAAAACACAGTTCTACAAATAATGCATTCACGCACACAAGCTGTAATGAGACAGACTTATTGAACTGTTCACCCACCCCACCTCCAATTAAGATGTGAAAACTATGACGCCTTTTAAGATACACATTTCTGTTAAATCCGTGAGGAGATGATAGCGTTTGTTACACGTACCTCGCAGTAGGCTCCTACTCGCGAATCACCTGAGTGATAAATCCTTTCGAAAACTTTCCAGTCTTGGAAAATGTTCACATACTTTCCTGCCTGTTCACACACAGGATCAAGTGTCCCCAATAGATGTATGTGCCTATGGTTGCTTTTGTGCAAACAAATCCTAATATTAAAAATAAATAAATAAATAAAAATGATTTATAGATCATAGAATATAGAAATGAATATAGAAATGAATTGACGACTCAACCTGCACTCAAGATTGTATTCTAATTATTTTTACAAATACATTTAAAAAAATGATTGTCCAATAAATATAGTACAAGAAGCTCTTCTCTTACTAAAAACAAATACTGTAGCAACAGCAAACACCAACAATGTACTATGCATTAAGCATATAATTATGGTTAGAGACTGTGAACAAAAGGCTATAAATAAATGAATAAACATAAAAGGCTAAACAAATAAATGAATAAACATTTAAAAAAAAAAAAAATTTAAATTTAAAATATATAATAAAATAGCTAGTCTATAAGTCCTATTTATATACACGTACCTCGCAGTAGGCTCCTACTCGCGAATCACCTGAGTGATAAATCCTTTCGAAAACTTTCCAGTCTTGGAAAATGTTCACATACTTTCCTGCCTGTTCACACACAGGATCAAGTGTCCCCAATAGATGTATGTGCCTATGGTTGCTTTTGTGCAAACAAATCCTAATATTAAAAATAAATAAATAAATAAAAATGATTTATAGATCATAGAATATAGAAATGAATATAGAAATGAATTGACGACTCAACCTGCACTCAAGATTGTATTCTAATTATTTTTACAAATACATTTAAAAAAATGATTGTCCAATAAATATAGTACAAGAAGCTCTTCTCTTACTAAAAACAAATACTGTAGCAACAGCAAACACCAACAATGTACTATGCATTAAGCATATAATTATGGTTAGAGACTGTGAACAAAAGGCTATAAATAAATGAATAAACATAAAAGGCTAAACAAATAAATGAATAAACATTTAAAAAAAAAAAAAATTTAAATTTAAAATATATAGCTAGATAGTTAGTCCTATTTATATAAGTCCTAATTCAGCTGAATGCCAGGGCACGTCAAATGAAACATATATACCATAAAAACGGCTTTACAGAGAATCTAAAAGTGCTCAACAGGTGCAAGCCTTTGCTTGATTTAAAAAGGTTATGGTATCAGACAAGCATGATTGAACATCATGCTGTAAAGAAACCACAATACATAAACCAGGAAAGGGGTGCTGGTACACAGGAGCAAGGAAGAGAGCGGGTCTTAATGAGAGGACACTGTGAGAGCGGGTAGCGATGGCCCCTGCTGAGGTGGGGTTGACACATGGCAGACCCCCCGCTCTCCGCAGTCTTGTTAAAAGGTCACACCTTGGTGACCATTTCTAATGCACCAGCGATCTCCTTCATTACTGCCCTCTCCTTACCATCACACCTGACAATGTGCAAGCTGCTTTTTTCAGCTCGGCCTTCTGTTTTTCCTTCCCATTTGCGAGACAATACAACACTACAGAAATAAAGAGATCAATCTAGTTTGAGTTATGAAAGATTAAATAAAGCAGTGCATTTATGGGAAACAGAACAGAAAAGTCCCATATTAGTTGCGGTTAGGCGAAGGGAGGGGAAGACCAGGAGAGGAAATCTGCAAGCACATATGAGTTTGAGTGTAAGTGTATGTTTGCATATGTGATGTCATGTACCCTCTGGAGTTGAGCCGGGTTTATGGGAACCCGTCGAGCTGCTTTTGCTCCTTCTGCTGCTGTCGCTGTTGACCGACAGGCTAGAGCGAAGCTTTCTCTGCACACGGTGTGAGACGGGCGACGGGTGCTTCCTGGACTCGGAGGTGGGGCTGGTGGAGGGTGGCTGTGTGACCCTGCGGGGCGTGCCGTGGCCGTTACTTAGCACAGTGTGCAGGCCGTTCTGCTGCCTGCCAGCCTCTCCGTCGATGCCATGCTGCTGGGATGTTGCTAGCTGGGGCAGAGGCTGAGGTTGAGCTACAGAGAAAGAGACAGAATTTTTTGTAATCATCGGTTTGGACCAGAGAGACATTATGTTTTGGATGAGTTACTGGCCCTTTATAGCATTTATTTTAATTTGAACTTTAAAACAGAAAAAGAATGGACTTTATGGCGAAATGTGAAAGACAACTTTATTAAGTAAACTTTAAGTAACAAAACAAGAAATTTGTATTTAGCAAATATTCACCAAATTTTAATCACAAGGTTTATTCAAACGTACACAAGGGATTCATATGTTCCATCATGCCCTGTAAAAAACGAATAAGGATTCTGGCTCCTAATCCAGTTCATTAATGAGCTAATTATCAATATATTTTAGTAATTTCAAGGGGAAAATAATGGAAAATAAAAAGCATGCAATTAACTATTCACATTTAATGCATCACACAAGAGTGATTGGTTGTTGTTGTTTTTTTGTTAGTTTTTTTAATGTGTAAATTAAATTAAAAAAACAGAACTGGTTTTAAGCAAAAAAAACACTTGACCTTCTAACACTTGCACTCTCTATTCTTTTTCTATTCTATCTTCTTGTTTTCTTTTTATTTATTAAAAAAAGATCCTCTAAAGGCCTGTTCACACCAAGGACGGTAACTATGAAGATAACAATAAAGATATAGTTCTAAAAATCATTCTTAATATTAAATATATTTTAGTAATTTCAAGGGGAAAATAATGGAAAATAAAAAGCATGCAATTAACTATTCACATTTAATGCATCACACAAGAGTGATTGGTTGTTGTTGTTTTTTTGTTTGTTTTTTTAATGTGTAAATTAAATAAAAAAAACAGAACTGGTTTTAAGCAAAAAAAACACTTGACCTTCTAACACTTGCAGTCTCTATTCTTTTTCTATTCTATCTTCTTGTTTTCTTTTTATTTATTAAAAAAAGATCCTCTAAAGGCCTGTTCACACCAAGGACGGTAACTATGAAGATAACAATAAAGATATAGTTCTAAAAATCATTCTTAATATTAAAGAATAGCAGAGTCCACACCACAGCTATAACGATAAAGGCACAGAGAAACGATATCGTTGGAATCACTTTCAGAATGATTTTTTCTAGCTGATGAACGATAAAAAATATTGACAGCCAATCAGAATCAATCCTGTTATAACAAGCTTGAGAATTTAAAGTGGCAAACGAGCGTGTGCTTGGAATAAACGGACGATATCATCCGCTGGTTATATAGTTATCTTTATAGTTATCGTTCTTGGTGTGAATGGGCCTTAACACTAGCCTTCCCTATTCTATCTACTCGTTTTTCTTTTTATTTATTATAAAAAAAAACGTGCTGTGTGTACTGCGTTAGGCTAACCGAAACTTGTCACAGCACTTACATATTATTGCCCTTTTGTTGGTTTTGATTTCTTCTATTGTCCTCATTTGTAAGTCGCTTTGGATAAAAGCGTCTGCTAAATGACTAAATGTAAATGTAAACAAAAACTAGTTCTCAATTCCCAATCCTAATGCCGTGTGATCCATAACCTGAATACACTCTTTTATACTTTCAGTCTTCACGCAGTCTGAACCGAGAGGCTCTATCTGATGCAACAGTAGTCATGGCAAAGTGAGTACTGTAAGTAACACTAGTGTGCATTCAGCTCTGCTTATGTACTCTCCTTCAGGATACGCACATCATGTTCATTGGGCTCCTTTGAATTATTCATCATTTTCTAGCATTGCAGGATTTTTTTTTTTTTTAACTTTATTCTGGCTTTTATGCAAAGATCTTTGCATTTTATGTGGTGTGTTTTAAGGTAGTGACACCTGAATTTCTCAAACAGCATGTGAAATAAGTTTTCTCTTAATTACTTTTTTTCTTTTGGTGGGAGGTCCACACTGACTGTGCTATTAATGTTAACAACAGAAGAAATCCAGACCACCTCTTTATAACAACATATCACCCTGGGAAGATGCTGAGGGGAATGTAAAATAACACAATTAAAAACAGGCCATGACAGCCTCATCAGCCAGCTGTCCATCTGTATGTACACTACAGCTAGCAAACAGGAGCGATCCCACTGTCAAACACATGTAGGGAGTCACTGTCAAACATGTGCCAAGATGCTTCATTTGTTTAATTATGATCAAATTAATTTGAGCATATTTTATAATCAGTATACAAAGTGTGGGGTAGTGGTCACCTAAAGCTCAGGGCTAGAAAGATGCTGGTCAGTGTTGTTAGCTAAATCTATTTAAAAATGTTTTTGTTAATTAAAATAAAGCTATAAAAACATGATATAAATAGTACATAAAATATTTCTTTTTTTTAAATAAAATTTAACTTTTAAAACAAGGTTTTAAAATGTATTTGTAATATTTAAATTTATTTACATTTAAAATAACTTCAAATTACTATATTTCAGTTAGTTGCAAAGGGAACTTTCCTAGTCATTATTAAAGTACTATAATAATTGAACTGAAAAAAAATGAAACTATATAGAAATATAAATAATATTAATAATGACAAAAGCACAAAAAATTACTAAAACCAACTAAAATTAAAAAGAAAATATAAAATGTTGGTGCAATCATGAGTGACATCACTAATTTTTGTAAGTTCAAAACAAGTAGTTTTTGCAGTGCAGTTTGAATAAATGTTTTTATTTTTATCAAGAGAATTACAGTAGCTGTTCTCACCAAGCTTTTTTAACTTAAAATAAATAAATAAATCAAGGAAAACTTGATTTTCTCAAGATAATATCAGGTTACTCCAAGAGGGCTGTCCTTACAATAAAATTTACTGTAAGATGTTAGTCTTTGAGGTCTCAGAATAGGGCTGTCGCGATTCGTCGATTTTATTCGACTATTCGATTTTTTAAAATCCTTGACTTCATTTTGCTCGCGTCGACTAACCGGCAAAATACCAAATATTAAACAAGGATTAAATCGCACAGGTAATGTGTAAAAACAACCGTCAGGCCGTTGGCGCCCCCTGCAGGCCTTTGTTGAAATGTGTAATGTACATTAGCTCTATTGTTTATAATACATTATGTATTTTAACAATTTTGTTCAATAAAACCATATGATTTCTTGCTTTTGATACTTTATTTGAACTAATTATTATTGCCTCATTGCTATTATATATGTATTTTAAGTAATTTTAAAGGCTATTGTTCACTTACATCTGTTTTTATTACCACAAAAAATGTATTATAGTTATAGGGCCCTATGAAATCCGTTTTATTTCCAAATTCAGTTTTTTCCATTTTCATTTTTCTATACTCTGTTTTAATGGTTAAATTAAATTTTATTAATCAAAAAGCCTGTCTAATTAATTGAGTTTTACAGTTTTATCTTTACCAAATTCTGTTTTCCATATTTTATTAGTAGTAGACTAGAACAGGTGGATATGTTGTCATTCTTACACTATAATACTGAACTTTGATTTCAGTGATTTGGACTATGAGATGGACACTTGCTTCTTGCACTTTATGTTGCACTTTACTTTTGGATTTCATTTGGTTTAATGAAATATAGTTTAATAAAATATTCTTAAGTAAAAAAAATTTGTTTGTAGGAAATTAATCGTTTAGATTAATCGATTAATCGATAAATTAGTCGATAGATTAAGCGAAATAAAAATAGTTATTAGTGGCAGCCCTATCTCAGAATCCTCAATACAAAAGCTCTCCAATGTCACTGCATGCTTGGTAGCTACCTTACAAAAAATTTTGAGTTTTAAAAACGTATAAAAGCAACAGCAGTTATTAAAAAGCGATAATTTAATAACTGATATTTGCACATCAGGAGTCAGGACAGTTCACCCAGAGCGGCCTGGTGTTAAGTGGCCTGCCCTAGGGCACAACGGTGATGGTTTATGGATCCTCCCTTACAGTATTTTGAACCAGACCTGATCTTTAACCTGAACACTACTTTACCTTCTGTTTCAGCAGACAGGCTCAAAAGCGGCCCAGTCAGGAACACGTTGCACATGCATCTTGCAATACGCTGCCAGAACAACAGAACAGAGAATGTTGTGGGCATCTGGTACACACTGATAGGATCGCATGGGCCCTGTGAAAGCCCAAAGGCCGATGCAACCCAAAAGAAAAGTCTCCCCTCGATAAAATATAAATGTTGCCTTCAACCCAAGATATGATAGGTGATAAAAATTGAATACCCACACTAAGTGTAAAAAACAAGCATTGCATTGCAAACGGTACACAAGCTGACAGGTCGCATTAAAATACCATGTTATGGTACGGAAGGGAGGGAGGGGGGAAAAGAAAACAGTCCAAATTGGTCTTCTAACCGCTCTGTTTCCAACATATCAACAACTGTTGAGAGTGTACATTTGTAGTTGAATAATACATGGTATTCCTCTACACACTCTGTCAAACACATCACAGGCAAACAGGGGGTGAGTGCTTCTTGACTGTCTAAGTAGCATCCCAATTTGGTCCCCTGGATCTGACAGCCTCAAATATCCTGGGAGCATTTTTAAAAGGCCAGTGTTTGATGGATTCATAAAGAACACACAAATATAATTGCCATTTGTCACCGCGCATTCGGCGCACGCTCCACGTGGGGACGGCGAGCCGGGACGCCCAGGAGAGATGCCGCGCCACTGTGGCGTCGCTCTCTATGTAAAACTGTAGATAAACACCCCTTTGGCTTGGTGTCACAGAAAATAGCTCCGCTGGAAGAATTCGAAATTGTACCCCAAAGACGTAGAAGCATAGTATGGCGGACCTCCCAAGAACGAATATGTATGAACGTCAACAGCGTGGTGCGGCATAGACAAGACAGTGAAAATTCGGTCAAGCAGGAGGGATGCTGAAAAAGAGGTGAGACAGGGCAGGATGTTCTCTCATTTGCACTGCTCTCTATGGAGACTGAAAGGTAAAGAGAGAGAGAGACAGGAAAAAAAAGAAAAGTAGGTCCCTGTATTTTTGCGGCTTGAGGCCTTTTAATATTTCATAGTAAGAGTGGAGCTGTTTGCTGTGCCCCATTAGGACGCCCATCAAACAG